GGGGGTGGGACTCACGTCCAGCAGGGCACTGGTGTCCACACTGAAGCCGTGGCTGCTCAGCATGGTCTGCAGGTTGTCCAGGTTGGAGTCCATGGCATCCAAGTGCTCACTGAGCTCAGCCCTGGCCGGGTGAGGGGGCAGCTGAGGCATCACTCCAGTGCCTTCCCCTCAGCCACACCCACCCCTGCCTGGGGCCAGAGCAGCAGTGTGTGGACAGGGCCTGGGTGCCTGGCAACTGGGGGGGAAGAGTGGCTTGGGCCACACCGGCTGGCCCGCCCCTGCAGGCCTCCAACAGCATGAGGCTGGGCCAGGAGGGTTCAGGCTTGGAGCAGCCGGGGGCAGCTGTTCAGGCTGGAAGTCTTGCCTTTGCATGGAAGACAGTAGGGAGGGGAAGGCTGTGCTCAGTGTGAGGTGGGCCAGGCTTCCCTCGTGCGGGTGGGAAAGACCCAGGTCTGGTGGCTGTGACCATGGGGTGCCCCGAGGACACTGAGGAGTGGCCAGCCCGCCCTGAGAGAAAGCCAGTTTGCACAGTAGCAGGGACCCGGACAGACTAGTAGCTGAGCTCGCCCGGAAGGCCCCTCGTTGTCAGCCAGTGATTTGGGGAACAGGCTTGGGCCCCAGGGCCGGGGGGCCACACTCCCTGCAGGCAGCCTGGGATACCGTTCACCAGGCTTGGCCGAGTGGTCCTCAGCTGGGGAGGGGCCCGAGCTCTGGAAGAGCCCTCCTCCCTCCCCAGTGGGGACAGCGCTAACCCTGGCTGGAATCGGCCATGCAGAGAGGAGGAGGGGTAGGGGAAGAGGCGGGCGACCCCAGACATCTGTGGAGTGCGAGCCAAACTGCAAGATATAAAGACAAGAGCCCCATTGCAGCCGGGCCCAGAGGGCGCGTGCCCCCGCCCACGTGCCTGGCTCTGGTGGCAGGGCCTCTGCTGGGCGGCAGGACCAGGTGACTGACAGCTGTAGCCAGGGTGGCCCAGAGAGCAGGTGCAACAGGCCACCATCCTCAGCTCCTGAGTGACAAGGCTGTGGGAGCCAGGCTGGTCTCCAGCTCCCTCCCCAATCCCAAACTCGGAGCTGAAGACCACGTCTGCAGCCCTGTGCCCAGCCCTCCAGGACAGTCCTAGCCAGAAGCCCCAGGCACATCCGGGGGGGAGGGAAGTGGAGGGCAGCACTCACTTGTCCAGGCAGGCTACGCTGAGGCACTTCTCAGGGGCCGAGGTGGGCGGGGTTGAGGGGGGCCGGCCCCCCGCATCTGGGAGGGTTGTGGCTGAGGCAGCTGGGGCAGGCTCACTCTCCCGCAGAATGGAGTCAATGAGGGCAGTTGGGGACAGGGGGGTGTCCACAATGGAGGACTGGAGCCCAGGACTTGCCTCCTCCACCGGGGGGCTCCGAGGAGGACTGGGAGGCTCCTCCTTGACGTGCACCAGGGGGCTGCTCGACAGGGGCCTGCGGGTGGGGGCACAAGCATCAGTAGGCACCTCTGTGGCCCCAGCCCTCTTCGGACCACGAGGGAGGTGGCGCGGTCCCCACCGCTCATCTATGCTCCTGCCGGGAGAGGCCACGGGGCTACTGGGAGTCAGCTCGGTGATGTCGGAGATGATGGGTCTGGAGCTGGAAACGGCATCTGGGGAGTAGAGGCTGGAGCTGCTGTAGGCCGGGGACGGAGCCTGCCATCAAAGGAGGGGACACATGTGGCTTGTGCCCAGGCAGCACTGTCCCCGCCAGGCCCGCTGCGCCCAGAGCTCACCGAGTAGGGACCGGAGCCGTGGATGGGCTCCAGGGAGTACTGCCGGCTGTACTTGGGCAAGGAATGTGCTGAGCCACTGTCGTTCAGCATCAGGGGGCTGCGGGGAAGGGTGGGTTAGCTGCCTCCTGGCCCCGGTGGCACCCAGGACCCAGTGCTGAGAGACGGGCACCCGCAGCGCCTCACATCTTTCTTTTCACCCCCAGGATCCGGTTCGACTGCACCAGCGAGATGAGGAACTGGATAAGCTGTGGGGGTGGGGGGAGGCGCACAGTTAGCCCAGCCGAGGAGGTGACAGCAGGCGCCCGGCAGGCCCACCGTGTACCTTGTTGACGACTTTCTGCTGCTGGGCGTGCTTCTGCCGCAGGCTGGCCACCTCCCGCCACAGGGCCTCGTTTTCACTGCAGCAGACCAGGGCGCAGTCAGTGGGGCCAGGTCCCAGGAGCCCCAGATTGAAGGGCTCCACAGACACTCCACCCCAACCCGGGCAGTGCAGGGCTGTTGGTGACCACACATCGCTAGCTTGTCTCTCCACTACGGACAAGGATGGGCTACGGAATGTGACCGGGGCAGGCCAGACCTTGCTGCCACTATCCCCCTCCTTGCTCACCTGCACCTCAAGGGAGGGATGCTCAGAGTCAGGTGTGTGTGTGTGTGTGTGTGTGTGGGGGGGGGCGGTCAGCTGGAGGCTGAGGTCAGATGCAGGCGGAGTGTTGTCTGCACCCCAGAATCCTGCTGAGACCTACTGGGGGCCTTCTTGGCCAGGTGAGCTGGCTGACCCTTGAAGGCCTCCCCCACCCTCGACCTTAGCCCAGCCTGAGGACAGGAAGGCAGGCCAGAGGGACAGTGGTAGCCCAGCTCTCCAGGCTGCAGAGCAGCATATGGGGTTGATCTGTTACCTTTCCAGGGCTCAGGGCCTGAGTGTAGCTCAGAGGTGGCCCAGGGAGTGGGAAGAGCCAGGTGAGCCCACCCTCCCAACAGGTGAGCAGGGCTATGAGCGGGTCTGCCCTCTGCTGGGCCCGCCCTGCCCCCCCCTCCCCCCGCATGTCTTCTTGATAGAGTGGACCCTCTTGGCCTCACCTAGAGGTGCCCTGACTGAAGGCCACGCTCATCTGGCCCCCAATGGGAAGAGTCAGAGCCCAGGAGCCACCTCTATGACAAAGGGGTCACAAGGGCACCAGCACCTGCCCCCTGAGCAGCTTTGAGGTGACCCTGAGCTGAGGACACCACCCTGGCTGGGGTTCCTGAGGTCCCCAGGGCCCTCACGGGCATGGGAGGAAACCCAAGCAGGCATTTCTGAGGGTCTTGGGTGAGGGGGTAGCACAGGGCTGTTATGTGGTCACCAGACATGAGCCAGGGGCAGGGGTTCCAGAAAGTACCTGCTCCCTGCTCCCCAGGCCTAAGGTGGGGAAGGCAGGAGAGGGGACGT